TGCTACTTTGGTGAGTGGCATCTGGGGTCTTAAAAGCTTGCAAGTGGCCATCTAAGATGCATCAATTGGTCCCAACCACCTGGAGTAAAGAAGAATGAAGATCACCAACGACACAAGGAAAGTAGCAGCCGAAGAGACAGAAAGGACCACATAAACCAGAGACTTCATCAGCCAGAGACCAGAAAAACTAGATGGTGCCCGGCTACCACCAATGACCGCCCTGACAGGGAACACAACAGACAGTCCCTGATGAAGCAAGAGAAAGGTGGGGTGCAGAACTCAAATTCTAGTAAGAAGACCAGACTTAATGGTCTGACTGAGACTGAAGGAAGCCCAGAAAGCATGACCCCTGGATTCTCTATCAGCCCAGAACTAAAACAATTTCCAAGGCCAACTCTTCAGACAGGAATTGGACTGGACTGTAGGACATAAAGTGATACTCATGTGGAGCGTGTCTCTTAGCTCAAGTAGATACAAGAGACTAAACGGGCAGCTTCTGTCTGGAGGTGAGATGGGAAGGCAGAGAGGGTTAGGAGCTGGTTGAATGGACTTGGGGAATCAGGAGTAGAAAGGAGGAGTGTGCTCTCTAAGTATGGGGAGAGCAATTAGGGCCACATAACAATGTATGTATAAATTTTTGTATGGAAGACTAACTTGAAATGTAAACTTCGTTTGAACTACAACAATAAAAACAAATTTTTTTTCAATTTACCTTAAGTGGATTGTAAAAGAAAATTGCCTCTAAAAGAGAGGTTATGGTCCCACCTCCTTTAAAGGGCAGGAATCCTGGTGGATACATGTATTTATCTTATCTTAAATCACATTTCTTTGTAACCATATGGCTACAGATTCAGAACCATTTCTTGCCTCTGCTGATAATTTATGATTCACTCTTATGACATGCTTTGTAAAACACTATAGTGTATTTGTATTAAATTTGTCTTAAGTGGATTGTAAAGGAAAATTATCTCTAAAAGAGAGGTTATGGTCCCACCTCATTTAAAGGGAAGGTGTCCTGGTGACGAAGTGGTTAAGCACTCAGCTGCTAACCGAAAGGTTTGGCAGTTCAAACCCACCATCGGCTCTGCCAGAGAAAAGATCTGGTAATCTGCTCCAGTAAAGATTTACAGCCTGGAAACCCTATGGGGCTGTTCTACTCTGTCCTATAGGGTCACTATGAGTTGGAGTCAACTCGACAGCAGTGATTTTTTTGTTTTTTAGTTTTTCATTTAAGGGATAAAGTGGGCATTAGAATCCTGACTTTCTGATGCCAGGCCTCATTACAGGAGGGCAGGGAGGAGTAGCGGCGGGGGGAGCATAGGGCCAGGGCCTCACGTCACCAGGAGTAGTAGATTTAAACTTTTGACATTTTCCCCAAAGACAGCTATAGATAAGGTCACAAAAGTAACACTGACCAGATTGAAAGAAAAAGGCATTGTCCTGTAACTTTGAAATGAGAAAATGTTTTAAAATACCACACATTTGCTAATGATTTGGCTTTTTTTTTTTTTTTCTTGTATCTCACAGAATCACCGCACCTCTGACCTCTCCTCCCCAGTGATCTTTCCTGAGGGCCTGTTGTCTCCTTCATGTCTTTACTCAAATGTCACCATCTCAGCAAAGCAAACCTTGGCCACCCAGACTCAGATTGCAATCCAACCCCCATTCTTTCTTCCTACTTTACTTTTCTCTTTTTTTCTGTATTAGTAATTATCACTGACATACTATATATTTTACTTATAGATCTTATTGTTGGCTTCTGCATCTAAAATTTCCTCTATGAAGGCAGGAAATTCTTTTTTGTCATTTTTTTTTTTTTCGTACAAAGCTCTTTCCTAGCAGCTTGTGCAGTGCCTGGTATAGCGTAGGCCTCAGTAGACACACGTTGAATAAATACTTACACTATGGGAGATTCCTTTCAGATAAGCCAAGTGTCAGGGTCCAATAACAACTACTGGGAGGTGAAGGGCATTTGTGGGCTTGTGAAGATGGCCTCTACCTTCTGACTTTCACAAGCAAGTGAGAAATGGAGCTTGTCATGGCTCTCTAAAAGCTGAATGATCCCTATATTAGAGGCATATTGGTAAAGGAAGAGAAACATCTAATGATACTAGTGGTTCTTCTTTGAGTCATTACTTTCACTTGCTTGAAACTAAACCAAATGACAACCTAATTGTCAAGACCCCTGTTGTACAGCAGGTACGCTGTTTGTATGGGATTGACTCCAACCTCCAATTCCAGTGGTTGACCCTGCTTGACTCAATCCAATTAGTGATCGTTTCTCCCCTCCCCCTTGTCTTAATGCTTGGATGAGCCCATGACGCAATTAGGGCCAGTGAGAGTGACAGTGATTCCCGTTACTATGAAGAGCTCAGGAGATAATCTTGTGTAGTGGTTAAGGAAATGAATTCTGGACTCAGAGCTCGTAGATTAGTAATCCCAACTACGCTATTCACCAGCTGTTGGCCATGAGAAAGTTAATTAACTTCAGTTTTCTTGCCTGTAAAATAGGGAGAATAATAGTACCTACTCCACAGGGTACTAGCAATCTGCTTCCGTAAGACTGTTGTTGTTTTTAGTTGCCATCGAGTCAATTCTGACTCACCTCAACCTCGTATTACAGAGTAGTACTGCTCCATAAGGATTTATTGGCTGTAACCTTAACAGAAGCAGATCGCCAGGCCTTTTCTTCCACAGTGTCGCTGGGTGCATTTGAAATACCAGCCTTTAGGTTAGTGGTCTAGGGATCCTGCTCCATTAGATTACAGCCAATGAAAACTCTACCGAGTACAATGTTACTCTGAAATATGAGGGGGTCTCCATGAGTTGGAGTGGACTGGACGGCAATGGATTTGGTTTTGGTTTTGGGGTTGCTGAATAGACTCCTAATCTTTTTTGTTCATTTATAGTCATTTATATGTACTTATAAGGAGCCCTGGTGGCACAGTGGTTAAGCACTCAGCTGCTTACCAAAGAGTCACAGTTCCAACCCACCAGTCGCTCCTCAGGAGAAAGATGTGGCAGTCTGCTCCCATAATTCCAACATTTACAGCCTTGGAAACCCTACGGGGCAGTTCTACTCTGTCCTATAAGGTCACTATGAGTTGGAATCTACTCATCAGCACAAAACGATAACTTATGTACTTAAAATGAGAAATGTATTTGGCCTCAGCAACATTTAGCAAAGATGGGGTCAGCTGGAGAAAATGGAGTGAGGCACCTGGTTAAGATTTTTAGGAACTAGCCTGTCATTTTATTCTCTGCAAGACTTTCTGTGATTCAGTGGTTTTGCACATATTCTCATTTATGTTCTGGTTTCAGGATGAATTTCAAACATTTTTGAAAGCTGCTGGATGCAAACTTGTGGTGGTTGAGTTTTCAGCAAAATGGTGTGGTCCCTGCAAAAGAATGTGTCCTCTTATTCAGGTAAGTATCACCAGCATCTACCCCACATTTCTGGAAGGAATTTGAAGTCCCCATACATTTTTCTAGAAATTGAAGTTTGGCATTTATGAGTCATAGTTTTTTGAAGCATCCTGATTAATCTGAAGACAGTATAACCAAAAAAAAAAAAACACTAAACCCATTGCCATCGAGTGGATTCCAACTCGCAGTGACCCTATAGGACAGAGTAGAACTGCCCCACAGTGTTTCCAAGGAGCGTGTGATGGATTCAAACTGCTAATCTTTTGGTTAGCAGCCATAGCTCTTTACCACTACATCTCCAGGGTTTCCAGGAATAGATTACACGTAAACATTGTAATTGTTTTTAGCTATATAAACAGCACTATAATATAAATAAATAAACTGGCCCAATCCTTCAACCCTTTTATCAGAAGAAATCACATCTTGTATATTGCTTTCTTGTCCTTGTTCTATTTAAAATATTCTAGTAAAATATTCTATGTAGTCGAAGTCTATATTTATAGTCAGATCTTTTTTATATGCATATTGGCTTATGTTTTTTATAGTTTCCAAATTACGATTTTAATGGCTACACAATGTTTCATCTAGTTAATTTTCCTATAGCCCCACAAAAAGTTTTCCTTTTTGGGGGGTTACAAAATACTGCAAAAAGAATCTTAGGGCATTTTCTTTTTCATTTTTTCTTATTTTACACTTATTTATGTCAATTTTGTGAGATCTATTACTTCAAATCTAAAGAAGCTTTGATTCCTTGGCCTAACCGAAAATACTCTGGTTTATTTTCATTGAAGTTTCTAACATTTCAACTTTTTTTTTAATGATTTACTTTTCGTTGTTAAAAATATACACAGCAGAACATACACCAATTCAACAATTTCCACATGTGCAATTCAGCGACATTGATTACATTCTTTGAGTTGTACAACCATTCTTATCCTCCTTTTCAGAATTGTTTCTCGCCCATTAACATAAACTCACTGCCTCCTAAGCTTCCCATCTAACTTTTCCAGTTGCTATTGTGAATTTGATCCCGTACAGATAGTTCTTTAAAACAACAAGGTGCTCAAGACGGAGATTCTTTACTAGTTAAGCTAAACGATTGCTTGGTTTAAAGAAGACTTCAGGGGATATTTCTGGTTTAAGGTTTAAAGTTTAACTCAGGGCAATAGTTTCGGGAATTCATCCAGCCTCCATGGATCCAGAAATCTGGATTCCATGAGAATTTGAAATTCTATTCTACATTTTTTCCCCATTTTGATTGGGATTTTTCTATAGAATCTTTGATCAAAATGTCTAACATTTCAACTTTTTTGACTTGAACTCGAACCATCTGAATCAATTCTAATCCAAACTGCAGTTCTTAAAACACACAACTTCTGACATTAAAATGAACTTATATTCAAATTGATTGCATTCAAATTTAACAATTTTAAATTTAACAAATTTAACCTCTTTCTTGCTTCTTTTTTGTTTTGCCAAAAGGCCCTATTAGTATTAACACTAAGCTAATAGGGAATTTTTGTTCTTTTATTTTGAAGGCAATGTCTCGGCAATACCAAAATGTAATGTTTGCTAATGTGGATGTGGATGAATCTCAGGTAAGAATCTTAAAACCTTTAGTGTAGGCACTTAAAACTAAAATGCACTGTAGTTGAATAGCAATGTATCAGTGATTAAATAATTTAAAAATCAAGAAGTATTTCAACATTTGTTCTGATGACTGTAGCAAAGTTCCTCATAATGCTTTTGCATGTTTTGTATTACCAAAAAAGAAAAGTTAGCAAATATGTGACTCTCCTGCTGCCCCCCCTCCCCTCCTACACGGTGGCTGCTGACTTCACTAACCAGTCCTGACATTCTTCTCTACCTGGCCTGGACTCAGCGCCAGAATCCTTCTCGGCAGAGTTGCTCTAAGCGGCCAGCTCCAATTGGTTAAAATTAAGCTCCAAGTGAAAAATGCTTTTCACCCCCGGCAATAGGTTCAATTTCTAAATTTCTAAATAACACTGGCCCTATTCACATATGACTCACACTATGAGCTATGAGTCATGTATGAATAGGGCCACTGTTATTGTTACTTTTTCTCAATATAAATGAACAAATATTAGCTAGAATAATTTTGTGAAGACATTGTGTATAATAATGAGACACATTTTGATGGATGAAATGAGGCTGATTATTATTATGGTCTTAGTGGTGGGGAGGGAAGGGGATGGCTCCAGGGACAGGAGGGAGGGATTTCCTGGAATTCCTTGTGATGTTTTAAAAGATTCCACAAAAACCATAATATGTAACACGAGGAAAGTGAGGTATAGTAAAATGTCTATAATACATTGAATTAGATTTTAGAAATTGATCCATAACCTATAGCAGGGGTGAAAAGCGTTTTTCACTTGGAGCTCAATTTTAACCAATTGGCATTGGCTACTTAGAGCAACTCCGCTGAGAAGGATTCTGGGGCTGGGTTCAGGCCAGGCAGTGAAGAATGTCAGAATTGACTTGATGGCAACAAATGTTTGGTTTTATTCATATATGTATTAAGAGCCCTGGTGGCGCAGTGGTTAAGCACTCAGCTGCTAACCCAAAGGTTGGCGGTTTCAAGGCACCAGCCCATTCCACGGGAGAAAGATGTGGCAGTTTGCTCTGGTAAAGATTACAGTCTTGGAAACCCTATGGGGCAGTTCTACTCTGTCCTATAGTGTTGCTATGAGTCGGATTTGACTCGATGGCAATCAGTTTGATTTTTGGTATTCATATGTTAGATTGAATTTGAGCTTTAGAATGAAAGAAACTTGTTCTCCCAGCTCTGCTCTTTAATAGTTTTGTGACCTGTTATCATTTAACCTCAATAAGCTTCAGGATAATATTACATAATAGAAGATAAAATGAGATAAAATACATAAAATACATGGCATAGTGCCTGGAACATAGTAGAAGTTCCGCCTCTTCGTTTCTTTCAGGCTTTCTTAAAGTGTGAGAGTATTTGATTGCCCTTTAAACTGAATCATGTACTAAATATTCAGAATACATGTCTAGGGTCATTATCTCCCCCCCTTTTTTTTTTAATAGCTTTATTAAGATATATTCCCATAACATACAATTCACTCATGTAAAGTGTACAACCCAATGGTTTTTAGTATAGTCACAGAGCTGTACAACCATCACCACAATCAATTTTGGAATCTATTCATCACCTCAAAAAGAAACCTGTGCCCTTTAGCAGTTACCCCTAATTCCCTCCACCACCTCCTCCACCCACCTCCAGGTAACCACTGATCTACTTTCTATCTCCATAGATGTGCCTATCCTGATTATTTCATATAAATGGAATCATACAACATGTGGTCCTTTGTGACTGGCTTCTCTCACTTAGCATAATGTTTTCAAGTTTCATCCGTGTTATAGCATGTATCAGAACTTCATTTCTTTTTATTGCTGAATAGTATTCCATTGTATGGATATACTGCATTTTGTTAAACCACTCATCAGTTGATGGACATTTGGGTTATTTTCATTTTCTGGTTATTATGAATAAGGCTGCTATAAACATCTGAGTACAGGTTTTTTTGTGTGGCTATACGTTTTTATTTCTCTTGGGTACATACATAGGAGTAGAGTTGTTGGGTCATACGGTAACTCTTGAAGCCCTGGTGGCGCAGTGGTTAAGAGCTCTGCTGCTAACCAAAAGTTCAGCAGTTTGAATCCACCAGCCACTCCTTGGAAATCCTGTGGGGGCAATTCTACTCTGTCCTTATAGGGTCACTATGAGTCGGAATTGACTCGACGACAAAGCGTTTGTTTTTTGTTTTTTTTTTTTTGGCTTTATAGTGACTCTATGTTTAACCGTTTGAGGAACTGACAGACTGTTTTCCAAAGTGGCTGAACCATTTTAGATTCCCATCAGTAGTGTATGAGGGTTACAATTTCTCAACATCCTCGCCAACACTTGTTATTATCTGTCTTTTCGATTATAGTTTTTTATCTTTTAAGGTGAAACAGAATGCACAATTTTCCCTCCTGATATTTATTTATTAGTTGTTGTCTTTGTTGTGGTAACAAAAACTATAAATAAGTGTGTGTGTGTGTGTGTGTGTGTGTGTGTGTGTGTTGCTGTGGTGGGGAGAGATTTAGTGCCAATAAAATGATAGGTATATTAGAGAAAGCTCAATTCTGTTGATCCTGTGGGTAGCTCATTTTCTTTTGACTCCTAAATAAGATAAACAAAAACTGACATTTGAAAGCAGAGTGGAATGGATTAAAACAATTAAGATTTGAGATGATTTTCTTGTCTATTGGTATCAAATCTTTCAAAAAGATAGGCAAAGAAGTAGGGTTTAAAAGAAAGAAATGTGTAAGCCTTACTGAAAATGCTAGACTAGTATATTGCCCCATGCATCAAGTGTGAGGTGTAATAAAAATACCTTAACTCTTTCCTATTTTTTGTAACATGCTATCCCCATACTGGGTCCCACTGGAGCATCTCTACAAGCTTTCACAGGTCTTTTAAATAGAGTTCATTCAGCCTTTCAGCATTCCCTCTGTCTCAGCCTCCATCTCTCACCTTTTCCTTAGAGCCCTGGAATGGAAGAGCCCAGCAATACTGGGAATAGTCATCTTCTATTGTAACATACTTGGAGACTTTGAGGGTATGTTAAAAAAACTCTTGGCAGGAGAATCCATAAAGTATCAGGTCTCCCTGGGCTTTCAAACTTGCCACCTAAGAAGTCACCAAGCAACATGCTTGGTACAGACAGAGAACATGCAAAACTGTGACTTCATGCCATTTCTTTTCTTTCCCAGGATTTGGCCCAAACGTGTAACATCAAAATAATACCCACATTTCAGATGTTCAAGAAAGCCCAAAAGGTATGTTTCCATGGTAACTGGCAGGGTTGAACTGGGTTATAGGACGATCAGAGTCTAAAAAAAAACACCTGGAGTACCCTGAATGGATAAAACAACTGCATTTATTTGTAACATTTAGGAATGTAATTCATGGTTTTTGAACTTTACATACTGACAAGGGGTTAAAAAAATGCATAGAAATGGATAATGGTCAGGTGGGGCCAAGATGGTGGAGTAGTCAGATGCTTCCGGTGGTCCCTCTTACAACAAAGACTCAAAAAAAACAAGTGAATTGATTATATGTAACAATTATATATGAGACCTGAACATCAAAGACAAAGTTGAAGAATCAGACTGAGTGGCAGGGGGAGGGAGAGACGATTCAAAAGCAGCAAGGAGTTGCCAGACCTGACCTGGTGGGAACCGGCACCCTGCGGGCCTGATCAGCTGGTGTGCATGGTGAGGCAGGCAGTGGCATTCGAGACATGTTTTCCACGTCAGGAGAGACCGAGCAGCAGAGAGTTACTCATGCCTCTGGAACCAGTAAATAGCTGCCCTCAACTGGCAAAAGATAAGTACATGCGTCTAACCTACTGCGGGACCAAAAAACACCCCATCTGAAAGAAACTCTCTCCCATTTATCTGCTCCCTTCCTGCTGGGCACTGGGTCCCACCGGCTTCAGCAATTGCCCTGTCACCTGGGCCAGAAGTAGGACCCAACATGTGCCCTGAGCCATTCTCCCCACCTTGGAGAGGGAACAAATTAACAAACAGGAAAAAATAATCTGCCAGCTCCCCTAAGCTGGGAAATCAGGGAAGGCACAGCTCCCTAGGCATAGGCATAAGAAGTCCACAGACTTTGAATGCCTTTCATCTCTGCATAGACCTGTGTGAGAATAGGCCCTCATTATCACAGTATAACAGTACAACAGGGTATATACCTGAAGCCTAACTTCAACTATATCAGCTATATGGTGGAGTGGCAGGTACATGACATTTGACACTGCCCTGCCCATTAAGCAGAGTCTTCACCTACCAACATCAGGGGCCTGAGGAGTGGTGGCTCCACCCACAGCAGCAAGCCACCTGTGACAGGGAATCAAGAATAAGTGGTTCCTCCGAGTTCTCACAGCCAACAGCATTGGATGCCCATAGTCCAGCTGCAAAACCCACCCACCTACGCACTCTAGGGAACAGGGACACACTTTCCTCCCAGACACTCAGGGGCAGCTGTCAGCCTCCTGCCTTGCTCAGCACATGACCCCCTACTGCAACCAGATATCTGTGCCTACACCAGTCACCCGTGCCTGTCTAGGACTGTAGGTGAGAGCCTGCACCACACACTTGGTGACTGACTACCTGGACACCTGAGCTGAATCCATACAAGATTATCACCACCCTTATTCAACATTGTGCTGGAGGTCCCAGCCAGAGCAATTAGGCTAGAAAAAGAAATAAAGAGCATCCAGATTGGTAAGGAAGAAGTCAAAATATCTCTATATGCAAATGATACGATCTTACGCACAGAAAACCCCAAAGAATCCACAAGAAAACTACTGGAACTAATAGAAGATTTCAGCAAAGTATCAGGATACAATATAAACATACAAAAATCATTTGGATTCCTCTACGCCAACAAAGAGAACTTCCAAGAGGAAATCACCAAATCAATACCATTTACACTAGCCCCCAAGAAGATAAAATCTTAGGAATATATCTAACCAGAGACTTAAAAGACCTATACAATTAAAACTATAAGACATTACTGCAAGAAACCAAAAGACACCTACATAAGTGGAAAAACAAACCTTGCTCACAGATAGGAAAACTCAACATTGTGAAAATATCTATTCTACCCAAAGAGATCTATACATACAATGCAATCCTGATCCAAAGTCCAAAGGCATTTTTTAATGAGACAGAGAAACAAATCACCAACTTCATATGGAAAGGCAAGAGGCCCTGGATAAGTAAAGCATTACTGAAGAAGAACAAAGTGGAAGCCTCACACTATCTGATTTTAGAACCTATTATACCACCACGGTAGTTGAAACAGCCTAGTACTGGTACAACAACAGATAAATAGACCGATGAAACAGAATGGAGAATCCAGACATAAATTCATCTCCCTATGAGCATCTGATATTTGACAAAGGCCCAAAGTCTGTTAATTGGGGAAAAGACAGTCTCTTTAACAAATGGCGCTGGCATAACTGGATATTCATCTGCAAAAAACTGAAACAAGACCCATAGCTCACACCATGAACAAAAACTAACTCAAAATGGATCAATTATGGAAGAAAAAATAGGGACAATGCTAGGAGCCGTAATACATGGCATAGGCAGAATACAAAATATTACTAACAAAGCACAAACACCAGAAGAGAAACTAGATAACTGGGAGCTCCTAAAAATCAAACACTTAAGCTCATCAAAAGACTTCACCAAAAGTGTGAAAAGTCTACCTACAGACTGGGAAAAAAATTTTGGCTATGACAAATCCCATCAGCATCTAATCTCTAAAATCTACAAGATACTGCAAAACCTCAACAACAAAAAGACAAATAGCCTTATTAAAAAATGGGCAAAGGGGCAGAAAAAACACTAAATAGACAATAGATAAGTCGTAACTTTGGTGAAGGGTAGGACAGTACACAATACTGGGGAAGCCAGTACAACTTGTACAAGGCAAGGTCATGGAAGCTCCATAGACACATCTAAACTCCCTGAGGGACTGAATTACTGAGCTGAGGGCTGTTGGGACCATGTTCTCAGAGAACATCTATCTCAACTGGCATAACATAGTTTATAAAGAAAATGTTCTACATTCTACCTTGGTGAGTAGCATCAGGGGTCTTAAAAGCTTGTGAGCACCCATCGAAGATACTCCACTGGTTTCACTCCTTTGGGAGCAAGGGAGAATGAAGAAAACAAGATACAAGGGAAAGATTCGTCCAAAGGATTAATGGACCACAACTACCACGGCCTCCACCAGACTGAGTCCAGAAGAACTAGATTGCGCCCGGCTACCACCACTGACTGCTCTGACAGAGATCACAATAGAGGGTCCCAGACAGAGCTGGAGGAAAGTGTAGAATAAAATTCTAACTCACAAAAAAAAGATCAGACTTACTGGCCTAACAGAGACTGTAGAAACCCTGAGAGGATGGCCCCTGGACACCCTTTTAGCTCCGTAACGAAGTCACTCCCGAAGTTTACCCTTCAGCCAAAGTTTAGACAGGCCCATAAAACAAAATGAGATTAAAAGGGTACAACGGCCCAGGGACAAAGACTAGAAGGCAGGGGACAGGAAAGCTGGTAATAGGGAACCCAAGGTCGAGAAGGGACAGTCTTGACATGTCATGGGGCTGTTAAACAATGTCATAAAACAATATGTGTACTGTTTAATGAGAAACTAGTTTGTTCTGTAAACCTTCATCTAAAGTACAATAAAATAAAATAAAAATAATAGGCAAAGGATACGAACAGGCATTTCACCAAAGAAGACATTCAGGTGACTATTGGATACATGAGGAAATGCTCACGATCATTAGCCATTAGAGAAGTGCAAATCAAAACTACAATGAGATACCATGTCACTCCAATAAGGCTAGCATTAATCCAAAACACACAAAATAATAAATGCTGGAGAAGATGTGGAGAGACTGGAACACTTATACACTGTTGGTGGAAATGTAAAATGGTACAACCACTTTGGAAATTGATTTGGCACTTCTTTAAAAAGCTAGAAATAGAAGTACCATACGATCCAGCAATCCCACTCCTTAAAATATATCCTAGAGAAATAAGAGCCATCACACGAATAGATATATGCACACCCATGTTCATTGCAGCACTGTTCACAATAGGAAAAACATGGAAACAACCTAGGTGCCCATCAACAGACGAACGGATAAACAAATTATGGTATATTCATACAACGGAATCCTACCCAGTAATAAAGAACAAAGATGAATCCAAGAAACATCTCATAACATGGATGAATCTGGAAGGCACTATGCTGAGTGAAGTTAGTCAGATGCAAAACAGCAAATATTGTGTGAGACCACTATTATAAGAACTCAAGAAAAGTTTTAAACACAGAAGAAAACATTCTTTGATGGTTACATGGGTGGGAGGGAGGGAGAGGAGTATTCACTAACTAGATAGTCAATAAGAATTATCTTAGGTGAAGGGAAGGACAACACACAATACAGGGGAAATCAGCACAACTGGACTAAACCAAAAGCTAAGAAGTTTCCTGAATACAGCCACTTTGAGGGACAGAGTAGCAGAGGCAGGGGCAGGGGTCTGGGGACCGTGGTTTCAGGGGACATCTAGGTCAATTGGCATAATAGAGTTTATTAAGAAAATGTTCTCCATCCCACTTTGGTGAGTGGTGTCTGGGGTCTTAAAAGCTAGTGAGAGGCTATCTAAGATGCATCAATTGGCCCCAAACTGCCTCGACCAAGGAATAATGAAGAACACCAAAGACACAAGGAAAATATTAGCCCAAGAAACAGAAAGGGCCACATAAACCAGAGATTCCATCAGCCTGAGACCAGAGGAACTAGATGGTGCCTGTCTACCACCAACGACCACCCTGACAGGGAACAAAACAGAGAGTCCCTGACGGAGCAGGAGAAAAGTAGGGTGCAGAACTCAAATTTTAGTAAAAAGACCAGACTTAATGGTCTGACTGAGACCCTAGAAGACATGGTCTCCTGACTGTCTGTTAGCCCAGAACTGAAACCATTCCCAAAGCCAACTCTTCAGGCAATGATTACACTGGTCTATAAGACATAAAATGATACTCGTGAAGAGCGTGCTTCTTAGCTCAAGTAGATACATGAGATTAAATGGGCCGCTCCTGTCCAGAGGCGAGATGAGAAGGCAGGAAGGGACAGGAGATGAATGGACACGGGAAATCCAGGGTGGAAAGGAGGAGTGTGCTGTCACATTATAGGGAGAGCAACTAGGGTCACATAACAATGTATGTATGAATTTTTGTATGAGAAACTAACTTGAACTGTAAAATTTCACTTAAAACACAATTTAAAAATAAAAATGGAAAGACAATTACCGGAACCATTAAAAAAAAAAA